TCTCTCTCTCTCTCTCTCTCTCTCTCTCTCTCTCTCTCTCTCTCTCTCTCTCTCGTGTGTGTGTGTGTATGTGTATTGGTAAATTCTGAATTTATAAAGTTTTGAGTGAAATCAGATTGGTATGGATGATCTACCTCTTTTATTCACCCTCAATTTTAAGGGTTCTCCTGCAGAGCAGGGAGATAAGAAAACCAAATCTGTCTTGTTGCTGACGGAGAGAAATGCAAGCCAAGCCGTTGGTGTCCTGCGATACTTGGAGCGAGCAGATGCCAAAATCCCGTCAGAGCTGTATGAGTTTACTGCTGGGGTCCTGGAAGCCAAAGAAGATAAGAAGGCCAGAAGACCTCTTTGTTCGTATCTTAAGGCTTTTGGCTTTTGCAAGTAAGCCAATGCTTTTTAAAATTGAGTAGTAACATGGATTAAAATTAATAGGAAATAAATTTGCCCCTTGATGAAAATCTCACATACCTATGTCCTTGTGTTAATCCACTCAATGCAAAAGGAGCAGAAAGAAGTTCCCACATGGTCTTCCGGAAATGACTGCCTTCTCATAGCTGTTAGCACTGGCAAGCTCTGCTGTTTTTTAAATGGCACATATTAATTGTCCATACCCCTCCCAGTTTCTAGCACTTGTGTTCTCCTTTCTGGTTGACTTGATTTTTAAGTTTCCACCTGTAAGAGAACATGTAGTGCTTGCTTTTCTGTGGCTGGGTGGTTTTATTTACTTCCTCCATTTCCACCCATTTGCTACAAATGATAGGACTTGATTTTTCTTCATAGCTGAATATTAATATGCTCTCTATGTGCGCCCCATTTTTTCCATTAATTTATTGATAAGTTTCGTCTTAGTTTGCTTTTTTTGTTGGTATTATAAAACATTGAGTGAAAGCAACTTAAGGGAGGAACAAGCTTATTTCAATATTTTACTTTACTTTATGGCTTCGTATTCTGTTCTTTGATATATTGCCATGTGTGCATCCACTTTTAGTTAATGGGCTTGTGGCAGTTTGTGCTTGGGGCTGTTCTGTATGGTACTGGTCTAAAAATGTTTTCATAAGCCATGTCTTTTCTAGGGACTATGTGTGTATGCTCAGTACTCTGGGTGACAATAATTAAGAAGAAAGAGGCTTCTGTCTTAGAGGTTAATTGACTTTTGTTGCAGATATGGTGATGTGTCTTGAGGGGCTGGAGAGATGCCCCCAAGACTGCTCACAACCATCTATTACTCTACTTCCAGGGGATCTGATGCCGCCTTCTGGCCTTTTGGGGCACCAGGCATGCATGTCATTCACAGGCATACATGCAGGGAAAAACACCCATACAAATAAAGTAAACATACAGAATTTAAAGACTGACAGTGTCTCTAGGGGATAATAAAGTCCTTTGTCCTCTGAACTCACCCAGTGCTGACTAAACAGTGGGGGCTCTCCCTGCCCAGGCACTGTTGGTGTGCTCTGCAGTCTAGAGCAGTTTCCTGGAGATGTCTTGACACTTTGTGTTAACTACTTTCTTCTTGGTTTAAAATCTGGCCTTTTTTTTTTTTTTTTTTTTTTTTTTTAAGAGACAAAAGGATCTGCCCTGACCGGCACCACATTAATCCAGAAATGGATATCCCAAGGAAGTTATCCAGCGAAGCTCTGCCCGTGTCTGGACACGTTAGGGTGAGTTCTGCTGGCCTCCTTTGTCTGCTGAAGAGTCATTTCCATGAAGACCTTTTGTTTATTTTAACTTCTTAGTAGTTTTGTTTGTGGGGCGTGGGTTGGGGGTGTACTATGTATTTTGATCGTATTTATTCATCTCCTTCCAGGTTCACCTCCTTACCCAAACAACTTTTTGTCCTATTAAAAAACAAAACTGGAGAGTCCAGTTTGTGCTGCCCACATGTTCTTGGATGTGTGTCCCTCCACTGGAGCGTGGTGTCTGCCAGGGACTGCACTAGAGAAAACAGAGCTGGTTTTAAAAGCAGGAGAAAAAATGAATCCCTATCTGTTGGGCTAGCTTACTAGTGTTGCTGTAACTCAGCACTGCGGGTGCTGACTCACAACCCAGCTATATTCTCACAATTTACAGCCAGTCAGTGCAGGGCAGCTGTGCTTGTCCTTGTTGTCTCCCGGCCTCTCCTGCCTCCTCCTGACCCCATCCCCATCACTGCCTCCTCCTGACCTCTGCTGCCTCTAGGGGAACAAAGTGCATAAACAGAAGGGAAGAGAGTCAAGAAAAGGGTGGGTGGAGATTGGGATGTGCGGGGGCTAATATGTTCAACATATTATATATACCTGTACAAAACATATTATATATACCTGTACAAAAACACAAAGTTTTTTAAATAGATGTATAAAGAGTTCAGTTAGAAAGTGAACAAAGGAACATATAGCTAAAATGAAGTGTTTATTTACTGTGTGTATGCATTTGAGTGCACCAGTACAGGTCAGCGATCAGAGCATTCTGCCGTGTTTGGGATCTGAGCTCCAAGATTCCATCTCAGGTTGTCAGGGATATGTAGAAGCTCCTCTTCTAGCTGAGCCATCTTTCTGACCCTAAAATGAAGTTTTTAATGATGGAATTTTCTCTAAGATATCTTCTGTTAATCTTAAAATGAGACTGGTTATTTATTTATATGGTATTTATTCTGCTTTGGTCCAGTGTTTGGACTGCTTCCTGGCTTATTCTTCTATCCTTTTGTGCGTATCTTGGGTTCTCAGCACGTTTGGTGGTTTCTGCAGACGTCACTTGTGCAAGTTTTATTTCAACCGTCTTCTGCATATGTTCGCTGTGTTTATTTCAGATAATACCTTTTTACGTTTCAAATGCAACCAATTACTTTGGTCGTATAATTGATAAACACTTGGATCTTTATGCAACTCTCAATGCGGAAATGAGTGAATATTTTAAGGATCCCAGTAACAAAACAGCTACTGAAAAGGTGGAGAGTTTGGGGTTGTATGGATTAGAAGAGAAAACGCTTTTCCAGAGGTAAACTATTTGTTATCTCTCTACAGTTGTTAAGACATGAATAATTAAAGCAGTTTTGAATGCTTATTCTCACTATTGTCTGTTGCCAGAGTGTGTGTACCCTGAGCCTGGCCACCTCCCAGAAAGGTGGTGCTTGCACACTGTGCTCAGAACACCTGGAGCAGATGTGCGTGGGATATCTACTAGCTTCTGAACAGAGGACAGGGACCTTATGCCTCCAGATATTTACTAATCCATCGTTGTGTGTAGCACACACACTCCTTGGTAACATTGAGTTTCTCCCAGATTCTTATTTAAAAAAAGGCTTTGTTCTCACTTTACAGAAAAGCAAACAGATCTGTGGGCTTGATGAGGAAGTTGTCTAAGACTAGCTCACTGGGTGGCAGAATTAGTGTCCCAGCCTGACCACCCAGCCCACGTGTTTATTTGCACCTACTTTTCTGAATCCACTGTTGTTAGCCTCATCTTAGAAGTAGGATCTTTACTTTGCTGTGTTGCCCTTGCTCTTTCATCAGCTACAGGGTTTGTTATGTTGAGAAGGGCCACCTATTCTTTGTCTTAGTCTGTCATGTAAGGAGGACTCCTGCTGTGTGCAGAGTAAGGTGGCTTCCTTTTTGGATTCCCTGTCTCTGTTGTTCTTTAGGGTTCAAGTGTTGGAGGTGAGCCAGAAGGAAGACAACTGGGGTTTGGGGAGTGTCTTGGTGAAATTCATAGATGAAGGCAGGACCAAGCTCATCGCAAGAGACAAGCTGCTGCTGCTCCCAGAGAGGTTCCACACTCTGCCCCCTCAGGCTGTGGAGTTCATTGTTTGTAGGGTGAAACCAGCTGACAGTGAAATCGAATGGAACCCAAAGGTGGGTTACTTTAGCGCAGTGCATTTAGCCCAGAATATACGAAGAGCTGTGCTTATTTTAAGTATTTATATGTAGAGGGATTTTTTTTTAACATGGGCTTTCACTGTGTTGCCAAGGGTAGTCATGAACTCCTGGATTCAAACAGTGTTTTTAAGTCAGCTTAGTAAGCAGTAGTTCCTGGTGTTTATTAGAGTCTTAAATTCAAACCTTCGCTTTGCAGTTTAGGTCATTGAAAGCATGACTTACTGTGGTCTTTGCTGTTGCAAGACAGTACTGTGTGTAAGTGGACTTCAGCACCCGTGACAGAGGTACCAGGCTCCCTGGCACAGTAGTGGGAGAACCAAAGTGAAGTTCTATGTTTTAATTGCTGTGCCTAAGAGATCCATGAAACAAAAATGCCTCTAACCTATAAGCTCCTTGCCCCAAAACAGATATTCCTGAAATGCTGGAGGCTATTGTTTACCAGAGATAACAGGCCATACGTCTCAATCATCTAAGCAAGTTTGTTTAACCCAGCTGCACTGGACGTGCTTGATCACATGTGGGCGGAGATAGGCAGGAAATATGTCGGAAATATGTCAGGATGTATACTTGCCCTGATTAGACCTGACTGGAAATACTGTGGCCTTATAGATTTGCCTTGTTAAGCCCCTGCAAAATGTGACTCATTGCCATTTCATGTGAACCCAGGAGTAGACTTGCCAGAGTCTGTCTTCCTAGCCAGTATTTAATTAAAGCTTGCTTTAAATTTGGCCCAAAACTGTGGCAATTGACTTATTCTTACCTGACAGGATTAGCAGTAGCCATTGTCATTAGTGCTGTCTTAGCATGTATAACATATGGATCATGGTAAAAAAAAAAATGGCTCCAGTTGGACAAAGAAAACAATGTGAAGAGTTCCTGAGAAAATAGAGCACAGGTTGTGGATGTCCATTGGGAGGCCAAGCAATTCTGTCAGGATTGGGAGGACGGGTTAAAAAGAGAGAGAGATATGCCAGAACAGGCCATTTCCTCTGGACCCTGTGGGGTCACTAAAATGTCATCAGTCAGATAGGATATCAACAGCAGAGAAAAATCCCTGCTCCATGCAACGTAACACAGAAGGCCACCCCACTGTGGCAGTTTGAGATGGGTGGAGGGACTGACAGACAGTCCTGTTCATTGCCAGAACAGCGGCTCACGATGATGCACCTGTTTCTAGAAGGTTAAGTTTGTGAAAGCTGACCAATGGGAGAGGAGATAAACCATTGTAATGAGGAAGTTGTAAAGAGGAAGTTGTAAACTGACTGGGTTTTAAACAGGATGATATACTACCTAGAAAGTAAATGTCAATCAGTGTCAGGGATAAAGATACAAACTTGATGTTTCAAATTTAATTTAGAATAGCTTTTTTCAGCTGGAAACTTTTCTCCTTTGTTCTAATAAGAACTTCCTGAGTGTCCATTGTGTGTGAGGGGCTGTGCGGAGTTCTGCAGCCAACAGCCAGAAAGCCATAGTCCTAGTCCTTTAGGTCTGTAAAGATGGCTTGGCCAAGACTCTCATTGGCAGACAGCCTTAGTGTAGAAATGGGATGTCAGCTGGGCAGTGGTGGCACATGCCTTTAATCCCAGCACTCGGGAGGCAGAGGCAGGCAGATCTCTGTGAGTTTGAGACCAGCCTGGTCTACAAGAGCTAGTTCCAGGACAGGCACCAAAGCTACAGAGAAACCTTGTCTCGAAAAACAAACAAACAAACAAACAAAAAGAAATGGGATGTCCTAGTTAGACTTTCCATTACTGTGATGAAACCATGACCAAAAGCAAATTCTGGAGGAAAGGGTTTATGGTTTATGTGACTTACACTTTCATACTGTAGTCTATCACTGAAGGAAACAGGGCTGGAACCTGGAGGCAGAAGCTGATGCAGAGGCCATGGAGGGGTTTGCTTATCATGGCTTGCTCAGTCTGGTTTTTTTTATAGAACCAGACCACCAGGTCAGGGATGGTACCACAGAAAATGGACTGAACCTTACCCATCAATCACTAATTAGCAAAATGCCTTACAAGCTGAATCTTATAGAGGCATTTTCTCAATTGAGGTTCCTTCCTTTCAGATAACTCTAGCTTGTGTCAAATTGATATAAAACTAGCCAGCATGTCAGGCAGTGGGAATGCATGCCTTTAATTGCAGCACTCAGGAGGTAGAGGTAGGCAGATCTCTGTGAGTTTGAGGCCAACCTAGTCTACAAAGTGAGTTCCAGGACAGCCAGAGCTACACAGAGAAAACCTGTTAGGAAAGGGGGTGGGGGGACACCCAAAACAACAAAACTAGCCTGCCAATAGGGCAAGTTCTCTTGTGTTGTTGTTCCCAGTTCACTCACTGTCCCAAGGGCACTAAAACACCCAGGACAAGGGCCAGCTCTCTCCTGTCCTGCATTATAGGATTTCAGATAGGTGAGAGAGAGAACTCAGACATGCATTTCTGTTGTGGTCTTTCTAGGGAGGAAAGTGGTAGGTGTGCTTGTGATCGAGCAGGGCCCTCAGTTGTGTGTCTTTGGTTACAGAGAGGTCTGTGGCCATGATGCCTTCTGGAAAAGCAAGCAGAGCCTCTGCTTCACTTACTGAGCTGTCAAGGAAGGAAACTTCCAGATGCTGATGGCTTTCTGTGGGTTGATGGTGAAGATGGGTTCACCAGTCATAGTGAGGAAGAATATTACAGGTCCAAAGGCGTGGGTCCTCACCAGTTTTCAGAATTTTACTTGAGGTCTTGGACAAGTTCCTGCATCTTTGATAAGAAAGGGGGCTTATGCCTACCTAACCTCATAGAGTTGTTGAGAAGCAGGTACAATGTGTAGCATGTACTATGTTCCATACAGTTTATGCTGGATGAGATGTTAGCTTGACGCCTCAGTTGAATAACAAAAGTGAGGTTTTTTTTTCCAGGTTACTAGATACATTCATCATAAGATTGTTGGGAAAATGCATGATGCCAAAGTGGTTCTGGCCTTGGGAAATACCCTTTGGATTGATCCAATGGTAAGTGTTCAGTTTTCTCCAAAAGAATCTGCTTAGATGACCCCCCAAAAATGATATAAAGAACCCTAGTCTGTTGTTAGAAATGAAGGTTTATTTGGGGTTCTATGTTAGGAGAGATATTTTTAATGTTTGGTCATAGGTTTGGTATAGGTTTTGGTTTTGTCTGGTGGAATACTTTACATGGTGACAGTCAAGCAGGCATTGTGTGTAATACACATCTGTAGCATAACTGGTGATCATAAATCTTTACTGTGTGTGGCATTTTCCAAAATTTATAGTGATGTTTCATTTTACCCTTGAATTATAACTCACAGACCGTTACGGAGGCTTCTGAGCCCACTGTCCAACCCGTTTGAGAAGTCACAGGTCAGTGTCTGCTGCCACAGTGCCTGCCTTTCCTAGTTCCTAAAGCCCTGGGGCATGCTCAGTACCTCATGAGGAGCGCAGTCCTTGGCACTCAGCCGTGTTGACAGTGTCGGCCTCATGTCTTCACTGAGCATTTGTTGTGCTCCATGGTGCTAAGGCTGGAGTGCACCCCTGAGTTCCATGTTTGGGAAAAGAGCAGAGGAGGCCTCTCCTCTGGGGTCAATGTGGAGAGGAAAGTGTGGCACAGTGACGTGTGGCTCAGGCCTGGGTGTCCCTGCTGACACTGTCCCTTCCTCCTTGCACCTCAAGGACTCTTCCTAGTTCTTCTGTATTAGACGAGCCTTACTCGTGATTATTTATAATATTTAAAGGAATTCAGTTCCTATCTTGTTCAAAGTAAAATTCACAAGGATGGAAAAACTTTAACACATTCAAGTGGGAAACTGGGGTATAAGATAAGAAAATAAATAATAAGAAGAAAAGTAATTTTTAGGGACAGAAAGTATCAGTTACCAGAGCAGGTAGGTAGGGACTTAGGGGTTTTAGGTAGTGTCGTCATAGCTCAGACTGGAACTGTTCTTTATTAGAGAAAAAGGAAGCTTTATTAAGCAAAGGTTTTTTTAATGCCATCAGAATATGAAGTAAAAAAGAAAACCCTCTTGGCAAACATGTTTCCACAGCTGCAAAGTATATGACAGTGTCTACTGACACCGGGGGAATGAGGGGAGCAGCACCCCAGCTTGGCTTCCCTTCCCAGAGCAACTCTCCCCATCACTCTGAGTGAAGGCAGATTCTTCTGTATATCCCTAAGCTACAGTGTGTGTGCCCAGGGTTCATTAGGAACATGTGCAGCAGGGCCAGCCTGTTTCCATCCCTGCCCTTCCACAGAAGGGCACCTGACCTGTGTCCACAGCTCTGCACAGAGGAATCCACTGTTGCAGATTTTCATAACTTGCTGAAATTGCACAAATTGAAATGCTTTGGCTAGAGAAAAGGTAGGTAGGTAGGTAGATGGATGGATAAAAACAGTGTAGAACACAGGACGTAGAGCCTTGACTGGAGGAGTCCTTCAAGACACATGCGGACTCTGAGCCTTGTCAGAGAATCCAAAGAAGAGTATCTGGCTACAGCATCTTAGGTTGCTATGTACTAGGGTGTCATACATACCAGGGTTCTGCCCATAGCTCTCCACTGTGTAGGGCGGGACTTAGAGGATTCTGCCATCACCTTAGTGATAAAATAACTGGCTGCTGCAGTAGGAAGCCCTTGCATACTGAGACATGTATCCAAGTGCATCTGACTTGCAGAAAGTCTTGAGAGGTTGTGAGAGTGCTTGTGATCCAGTCAAGATGCAGATGTGACTCTTACAAATGTTTCCCCCCTTTGATTGAAGGTGCATGTTACAAAACTATCAAATCTAAAAACCTCTATCATTGATTATAATGTTCGAGCTGAAATTTTGTCCATGGGAATGGGTATTGATAATTCAGAACACATAGAACAACTGAAAAAACTGTGCAAAGAAGCCAAACTGCCAGCTTTCGAGGACCTTCTGGGCCAGACCTCGTAAGTGCATCTCTGCCTGCATTTGAAAAAATTGTGTTAAGTTAGAGGAATCTCCATGCTCTAGACTCAGCTTTAAGAGCTTTCAGGGGTCACCAGCTTACCCCCTAGTGTTGCTGGAATAGTGTAAACAAATCTCAGGCGTGTTGTTTTCTTTCTTTTACAGAAGGGACTTTTGTTGACATTTTATTTGCAGATAGCACAGTGTACAGTTTGATAATCCACTTGGAACACAGGGCAGGTGTGGGGGGCTGACAAACTGAGATGGAACTCCCTGGATTTGTACTTGGCTTGAATGGACACATGTGCTTTGTTTGCTCTGGCTATAGTACCTGACACTAAGTATACATTCATCTGTCCTGTGTGTCGAAATGTAGATTTAAGTGTGCACTTAGTGTCCTTTGAGTTTGTCATGATGCTTACCTACTGTGCTGTTGGCTAGGGAGATGTCAGTCAGGACACAGTGCCCTCCCCTGCACATGTGCTGCTGTGATTCAGGATAGTTTCTGACAGGTGGAATTGAGTTGTGCTTAGTGCTATTGCCCACAAATTTTTCTTCTGTATTAGCATGTGTTGCAGTGAATAATGGGTCTCATAGTGACATTTTCATACATGCACATAATGTTCTTTGATCATATTGCCATTGCCCTTCTATCCCTTCTCCATCTTGTCTCTCCTCCTCCCCTTTTCTACTTTGACATCTTTTAAAAAAATATAGATTCTGCATATGAGAAAAAAGATACAATATTTTTCTGAGTGTAACTTCTTTCACTTCATACAATGATTTTTAGTTCTATTTTCCCACAAATGACATGATTTAAGTTTTACAGATAAGTAAAACTCCATTGTGTGTATTCTCCACATTTTCTCTATCCATTCACCACTGGTGGGTGGCTAGCCTGATTCCATAGCTTGGCTACTGCAGATAATATTGAGGTATCACACAGATGTGAACTGCCAACCACGCTTCATGCTGACTGTGGACTGGCAGGATGACTCAGGGGATAAGGGCGCTTACTGCCCAGCCTGATGGCCTTAAGTTGATTGACAGAACTTACATGTTGGAACAAGAAAATCAACTCTGATCTCCACCTGTGTGCTATGGGATGCAATGCCCCCCACTACATACAAAATATAATAAATGTAAATACTTTCCAGTGAGCAGAGCAATTTTGAATAGTAACCATATGTAGTGAAGTCACTGTGAGAAGGTGTGATGGCCAATAGTGATTGTCACCTTGATGGGTTATAGAATCATTAGGAGACAAGCCCCTGGGCAGATCTCTCAGATCAGCATGGACCCAGCAACTGTGTGACGCTCGAACACCAGCATGGCCTCAGGTGGCAGCCCAGATCCCAAGCATCCGCATTATCTTCAATGGCAACAGGAGCCTTGGGCATCAATGCAGACCCTGGCTGTGGCTGAGCCAGGGACCCAGAAATGTCCCCCAGACCACGGTTCAGCCCATACAACACCGTGTCCCCGTTTGGCAGCACATGTCACTCAGGTCTGTGTGTCCTCTACCCCCAGCAGTGGCATAGCTGTTGGACATCAACCTTGCCACAGGTGGCAGCCCAGATCCTGGGCGTCTGTGTGGCATTTAGTGGCAACATGGACCGTGGATCCACGCTGCTGTAGGAGCACAGACCCAGACATGGTCCCTGGCAGCATTTCAGGCCCAGATATCATGGCTCTAGCTGGCATCTCAGGCCACCCAATTAGCATGGCCCCAGTGGTAGCATGGCACTTGAGTGCCAACATGTCCCTAGGTGGCTGCCCAGTCCCTGGGCATCTGTTTGGCCTTCAATGGTAACAGGAGCCACAGATATCAATGCAGACTCTGGCTGAAGTAGGTTCATGGACCCCAGACATAGCCCTTGGCCACAGTTCAGGTCCAGGCATCACCATGGCCCCAGGTGGCAGCATGACCTTCAAGCACCAACAATGGCCTCTGGTATCAGCCCAGACTACAGGACTCCGCACAGCCTTTTGAGGTAATGGGGACCACTGATATGAACCACAGAGCCCAGCTGCAGCAGGGCCAGAGACCCATACATAGCCCTAGGCCAGATATCACCATGGACCCGGGTGGCAGTGCAAGTTTCTTAGAAAGGCATGGCCCACCCCCTGGGCATCTGCAGAACCCTCAGTGGTAACAGGAGCCACAATATGAACACAGACCACTATGGCTGCATCGGGGTCATGAATCCAGACATGGCCCTTGGCAGTAGCTGAGGCCCAGACATCACCATGGCTCCAAGTAGCAAGAAGGCCACCCACATCAGTTGGTTCTTCACTGCTCTCGACTCCTCAGATCAGCTTCTCTCCCATTTCCCCATCATATACCCCTCATCATATGGTGTCCACCTGACCGGCACCACAGGCCCACGGCTGATCTCTGCCTGCCTAGGACAAATGTCCCGGGGCACTGCTGCAGCTGTCCTCTGCTCAATTCCAAGGTCACGGTGTGAAAAGGATTACATCTCAACAAGTAGGGGCAGCAGCGATCAGCCACCAGTTGTGCAGCGGATCTCTGTAGGTTCGAGACCAACCTGGTCTACAAGAGCTAGTTCCAGGACAAGCTCTAAAGCTACAGAGAAACCCTGTCTCGAAAATAAAAAAAAAAAAAGACAACTGTTATCTGCTTAAAGAGTCAAAATAATGGTAATATATATGTAAGCGGAGACTGCATTCTGGTTTCCCAGCCACCCAGACCCAAATAATAACAAACTATATTAATTTATAACACTGTTTGGCCAGCAGTTCAGGTGTTCCCTCGTGTATCTTAACTTCTTAATTTCTTTCTTTCTTTCTTTCTTCTTTCTTTCTTTCTTTCTTTCTTTCTTTCTTTCTTTCTTTCTTTCTTTCTTTCTTTCTTTCTTTCCTTAATCAGTGTTTTAATTTATTTGGAAACAATCTAAGTATATGGACCAGAGTGGTCTGACACTAATGCATAATATTTGCCTGCACCGTCAGTCTCCAAATCCTGAGATTAATGGCCTTGGTTTGGACTGTGCCCCGTTGACAGGAGTTATGGGCTCAGAACTGAAGTCCTCCCATGTGTGCAGACCCTCTGTTGCCCACTGACTGAGCTGCTCAGAAGTTGAATTAAGGATTCTGGCTACAGCTGTGGCAGGAACAGGAGCTTCCACAGTGACTGGCCATTCATCCTCTGATACATAAGTCTTGTCTTCAGCTACTATGGGTTGACCAGAGTCATGGTGATGTCTGGCCTAGGGCTATGTGTGGTCATGCACCAGGGACATGACCGTCAAGCAGGATCTCTTGGGAACTACCTCCAGCATCTTCTATGGTCTGATCATCATGATGAGGATCTTGCAGCCTGGGGTTGAGTTTGGGAATTGAACCCACCATGGATGTGCCCTGAATATCTCAGGCTCACCAATCTTGCCTGGATCCCTGCTAGTAGTTGAAACCAAATTAACCCATTTCTATTAATCTATGTATCACCATGAGGCTGTGGCCTACTGGTAAGGTTCCGGTGTCTTTCTCCTTCAGCAGCTACATGGCATCCCCTTGAGTCTGCTTACTTGATATAATATATATATATATATATATATATATATATAATATACACATATATTGTATATATCTATATATAATGTGTGTGTGTGTGTGTGTGTGTGTGTGTGTTCGAATTTTCCACTTGGCTTTATTCTGCCCTGCCATAGGCCAAAGTAACTTCTTTATTAACCAATGGTTATAAAATGTATTCACAGCATACTGAGGTGAATCCCATATCATATTTATTTTTAATTTTTATACGTAGTCTCTGTATAGCCCTGGCTGTCCTAAAACTCACTCACTATGTAGACCAGGCTGGTCTTGACCTCAGAGATCATCTTGCCTCTGACTCCCAAAAATTAGGATTAAAGTCATGCATCTCTGTAGCCGGAGGCTTTTCTCTGTCTTGTCCAGGTCCACTGGACCGGTTTCTCTCCTGCTCACTGGCTGGTCCCGGCAACTGCTTATAGAATAATCAATCACTCAGAGGCTAATATTAATATAACTGCTTGCCCTATGGCTTTGGCTATTATTGGCTAGCTCTCACTTGTAAATTAACCCATTTCTAAGTTGCCATGTAGCTGTGGAGTTACCTTACTGTTCTATGGGCAGCTCACTGGCATCTCTCTCGACCCGCCTTTCTTTTTCCCTAAATTTAGTCTGGCTTTCCTGCCTGTCTCTATTCTGTCTTGCCATAGGCCAAAGCAACTTCTTTATTAATCAATAAGAGGAATACATATTCACAACATATAGAAGGACATCCAACATCACACCACCACTCTTGAGAGAGAGACAGAGAGATCTATATCTTTCTATAGATAATATATTTATAGATATATATATAGAGAGAAGGATGTCTATAGATCTATATATACCTGTATATGTCTATTACCTATATATATATGTATAGATTAATATATAGATCTATATATCTATATCTAGATATATCTATCTAGGATATATATATATCCTAGGATATATATATATAGGATAGATATAGAGGGAGCAGACACAGTCACCTGAATGAAATAATCTATAGGTAGCTAATAGGAAAAATCAGAGGGTGTTGTGTTAGATGCAATAGGCTTCTGTGTACATAAAAAATATATAAATGAATTTTTTTAAGCCACATCTTAGTCTTAACCTCTCAACCACCTCATCCTACCTCGGAACTGGAAAGTCACTGACCTGCCCGTACCTCAGTGATACTTCCTTTTGTATGAACAGTATTTCTAGAAGTTGGCCCAAACTGGTAAGACAGACTCTGGGAAGACATTCTAGCAGACCGGTGGGGAGGAAGTTAGACTAGCCTTGCACTGAGGCTCTTCTGCCTGAGTGGGAACGGCACAGCCCTTCTTCCCAGAGGTTCAGTGAGCTTGAAGGAAAGGCTGGTTGAGTAAATGAGAACGTGCCTTCCTCTGCTCACATGTGCTTACTTGAAACAAGGGCACACTGGGCAAAGCTGACCGGCCTTGCACCGCCATTGCCCATTAAGTCACAGAAGCCCTGTGGAGATCCGACTCCAGGTTGACAAGCAGGTTGTTTAATGTCTATGCCCTCTTTTGCCAGAGTCTCCTTAGGTCCAGTTAACCTCTGGCTCTTCTATCCAGGACACCTACCACAGTGGAAGATGCCGTGTGTCTGCAGGGCACTCAGCAAGGAGATGGAGACACAGAAAAAAGTGCTGATTCCAAGGTGGACTTGGACACCCAGAAGCCTGGTTAGTGCTGCATTTAAGATCCTAACTCCAAGTCGAGATTTTCCCATATTTAGGCTTTCCTTTTGAAATGACTCTAGCAGGCCTGAGCTGGCAAACATACCTTTGGCAGGTCTTGTCCTCCTTCATTCCCTCTGTCTTACTAAACTGTTAGATTATATTCCTAAAGCTAGCCACTAAGGCCCATTCCCATCTTTGACTACTTCCTCCTCCTAAGACTGACTACCCATGGTCCAGTATTGACGTCCCACAATAAAATGCCCCTTTTGGGCTACCCTACTTTGCATGCCCTATCGAAACAAACCAGCTCAGGGGTTTCCCCTTTCCCTTTATAGACTGCTGTTTGCCTATGGGTCTGTCTGCTCTCTATCCAGAGCCAGTCCTTTGTCGGTCTGGGGCAAATATCCCTCCAGCTCCTTGTTCCTTTCCCCTTCTCCCTAGTCCTCTATTTCCTGTCTTTGTCTCTTATTCCCTCCCTACCTCTGGGGCAAATGAGTCTCCTTTGTGTTGAAACCTTGGTCTTGGTGAGTCCTGTGCCCACTCTGGTCTTTCCACCTTTCCCTGTGAGGTGCGGAGCACAGTGCTGTCGGTCAGCCATTCTTCCACAGTGCTGCTTTCTCTGTAGCTAGTGTCTATGGAGTGAATTGGACAGTGCTTCGGGTTTGTCCCTGTGCGTGCACCTCGGTTGGGTGTTTCCAGAGCCCTCCCTAGTGATCGGCTCTTCTTATTCCTGTCCCTATCAGTTTTGCTGAGTTCAAAGCCTGTGGCTTCCTCCAGTCATTAGCATTATAGTCAGAGTTGGTTTTGTTTTTGTTTTTAGTTGTTAGGTTATAGTCTATTCCAGAGTTTATTGGGAAACACTAAGGTTGTTTCTCAGGAGGGTATATTGTGATGAAAGCTGCTTAACCCTTAGTTTTTGCATTGCTGTGACTAAAACCTAGAGCCTTGTTTTAAGTTTTGAATGATAATTTTAAATATTTTAGGTAGAGAAATCTAAATTCCATTGTCTTAGAAAATGTTTGCTCAGCAGTAGTTCTGTCCATGTGTTGAGCTGCTCTGGGAGTCGCAGGTTGAGGGAGCACAGGAAGCCTGGGTTTCTGTGTGCACACCCCCAGCAGTGGGGCACAGGTCCTCTTCCACTGAGCGCTTTCCTCTCCCGGAAACTTTACCGTTTGGAAGTCTATTATATTTTAGATAGTGTTTCCTAAATTATGTGCATTTTAGTTTCTTCTAATCATTATTTGCTACTAGATACCTGAGTTTTTATGACATTTATACTCTTTTTGTTTGCTTTTTGAGACAGGGTCTCTACATATCTCTGGGTGTCCTGAATCTCACTATGTAGACCAGGCTGGCCTCCAATTCACAAAAATTGTCCTGCTTCTGTGTGCTAAGATTAAAGGCGTGGGCCACCACATCCAGCTGAAATTTATACTCTTAACATAAATTCTTCATGTAAATGTTGCCTTGGGTATTGAAAAAGTGTGCATTATAATATAAATAACATGTGGAAATTTTAACATTGATTTTGTACAGAAGTTTTATCTGAAGACACTGGCAGTGACTCCATCAGCAGAACTCCACAACTACATGTGAGAAGGTATGTGCTCCTGCGCCTGGTCCTCCCTAGATGCTGCGATGAGCTAACAAATACAACCCCTTTCTTTCCTTCTAGTTTTCATCCACAGATAAAATGGTTCCAAAAAGATGATGTGGTCATCTTAAAGATAAAGATAAGGAATGTCAAAGATTATAAGTGTAAATTCTTTACAGATAGAGTCATTTTCAGGTAGGTCTGTGTGTATGTGATAAAGTAAAATTGAAATCACATACTACATTTTAGATGGCCAACTTTATTTCTTTTTGTAAACCCAGTGCCTGGGTAGGAGACAAGTTTTACTTGGCTGATATGGAGCTGCAAGGTGACATAAGGAAAGATGACTGCAAGTGTGTAATTAAAGACGATGAACCTCTGATCACACTTGCAAAGGAGAAAAGGGCACGCTGGTGCGGCCTGCTCAAGCAGAGGGTGAGTTGGCATGCCTGTGACTGGCCGCGCCTGGCCCTGAGCTGTTTGCACTTACTGACCTGCATCCACTGTTTGTCACACAGCATCCTAATGTGGCTTTTGACTTTGATCACTGGGAGGAATGTGAAGAGGACAGCCCCTTCTCGAAGGGTGAGATGGGCAGCCCTGCTCCTGGGCTTGGGGGCTGGGGCAGTGAAAGTGGGTTGACATACCAGCTGTTCTTAGGGATTCTGCCTTTGTAGAAACAGGCTGGTAATGTAAGTTCCTAAAAATTGGAGTTGATTTTGGTGCCAAATGTTCTGGTATGGGTACATAATGATATTTGGTGATAAATATGCTTCTTTAAATATTTTGAGTGCAGAGGATGGAACCCATGTATGGTAGGAAAGCTCAATGGAACTATACCATCAGGTCTTAAACACACCCGAGAGACTCTCTTACGATATCCTTTCTAGGAGAACTACTTGCTTTAAGAGCAGACACATTTTACCTGTCATTGCTTGCTTAAATAATTTGTGAGGAAAACAGAGCTAGACCTATGGGACATTTGCTGCACTGACCAAAATAATGGGGTGGGTAGTTCACCTATACTTAACCATTTTTAATAATACCAAATCTTCTAGTTGTAAATTCTAAAAACGTGTCCTGCAAAGTGGCAGTGTTGGCTGAGGACAGCGGCACCTCTTCCGGCACTGATGGGAGTGACAGCGAGTGAGCTGCGCAAAGGCTGAACAGAGACGACATCGCCGTGGGACTGAGCCATGGAAACAAATCATGTGTGAAGCTTTTCTCCTGGAGAGTGAATCGTCACTGTACTGTGTGGTGCTGGGGTGGGTGGGGATGAGAAGTTGTTAGCTGAAGGAAAGCGGGCAGACATACCAGCTGATAGGTTAAGTCCAGGAAGGGACACAGAACACTGGGGACACTTCTCATCTCAGCACTCATGAGACTGAGGCAGAGGATTACAAGTTTGGGGCAGCCTGGCCTATATAGGGAGATTTTGTTTCCAAAAATGTCTTTTCAAGCGAAGGTCTAATGTAAACAAGCTTTCCAGTGTGTGCTCTCGTTGGCACTTAGCCCACCTGACGCCTCAGTATAGAGGACAGAGCGCAGGCTGGAACATTAGGTAAGACTGTGTCACACAGACTCGTCTCCTCGTTTGCCATGCAGACCTGTGTGTGACACTGCTCAAAGCTTGTCACCCGTAGAGCTGTTTCTACCTTAAATTTACACCCAGTGCTGCTTGCTGCCCCTTTCCCCATGACATAGATGGATTTGCTGCCACCATACAAATACTCTTTAAGTCTTCCAGACTTTGAGAGCTACTGAGAAGTAAATCTTTTCCCAAAGGTAATATAGACTTGGTTCAGCTCAGTGGGATCAGTGGCCTGCAGGAACCTGGACAAACATGGCAGAACTTTCTTTCAGAAATGTTAAGGGGACCTGTGTCCATGTAGTATATAGTTAACCTTGAGAAAACCCAGATAAGGTGAGTCCTGAAAATACTATACAAGTCCTTAAAAAGCCTTGAATGAGGCTGGACTGCCAAGGTTTGGGGGAGGGGTGTGTGTAGTTACCATTTAAACATCACTGAAATAGTTGGGAAGGTGAACCAATCCTGTACATAGCATTTCTGTATCAGTTCTCCTAGAAGTGAGACGGGCGTGGATGAAACAGCACTGTTGAGAGTGACTACCCCGAGAATTTATTCCTTTGTATATCAGAAAATACAGTGAAGATGCGCATGGTGGCCCAGCATTTGAGAGGTAGAAACGAGGACCAGGAAGTTTCAGGTCAGCCTGGGCTTTATAAGACCCAATGTCATAAAACTGAACTAAAAATAGAAACACAGCTGTCCAGACTCCTGTAATCCCCTGTAGTGAGCCACTGCACAGCCTGGGGCAAACTCTTGACTTTCTGTGCCAAGAGCAGGGCTGGGCCGATGCTGGCTCTTGGTTTTCTCATCTGTAAAATAAGACCTGAGCACATGCAGCACCAAAGAGGCTGTGTAGGGTGGGCACCTGACTTTTGACAGCAACTGTGCAGAGGGGCAGACCTGTGCCCAGCTTGGGCAACTGCCAGGAACACACCCTTTCTGCCACTGTGACTCTCGGGTTGATTGGCAAATATCAGAATGGCCATAAAGCAAAGAGGCTCTTGAGACAGGAGAAAGCATGGTGTCTGCTGGCACAGTTCAGCGGTGGGGCTGGGCTGTGCCGGTGTCCATTCGTGTTTGTGCAGATGCAGGTCCACCCAGCTGGCGGGGGACGGCGGTAGCACTGGATACACTGAGTGCAAGTAGCAGGCTGTCTCAGAAGATCCAGGGAAATGGTGGGGACAGCTCTGTTTAAATCATTTCTTTTTTCACATGGTCAAATTTTCCAGTATTTAAACCTCTGAGCAACATTTTGTGGCACATCGGAGGCTGGCTATGCAAACAATCAGTTCTTTTCTGTATTATATTAAAATGTACTGTTTGGGGTAAATTTTTGAAATATGAGGTAGAAATACTTGAGTCTGTGCTCTAGAGCCGCTCCTGTGTGATATGAGCATGAGTATTATTATGTGGTGGGTCATCAATAAAGCCCGTGTTCTACAGAAATGTCTTGTTCACAGTGTTTTGCTCTTGGTCAAATGCAAAGCAACATTCTATCCACACTTTGTAGAAAGCAAAGTGCCCGTGAAGGCAGTAAGTTGGGGCGTGGGTGACACTGACACCAGCAGAGTCCCTCGGACAGCTGCAGTGAACAGAGACCAGCTGTGCGCAGCACAGGGTAAAACATGGGAGCGAGAGCACTCAGGGCGGGGGAGGGGCAGGATAAAAGCACGTTTAAAACCCTGCCAGTGGTCTGTGTCGAGCTGAGCAAAAATAGCAGCAGCTTTATATAAGGGCAGACGTGACAGGTTAGGGGCTGCCTGTGATTACTGTTCTCTGCTCTGACAGGCACAGAGCCTTGCATGTGCTAGGCAAGCGCTAACTCCTAAGTTTCCTCCACAGCTTCCCTGATGTTCAGTTGAGTGGATGTACTGTAATAGGGATGCTGTTCTGCAGCCCCTCCCTCGCCACCAGTCCTCTTAGGTAACACCTCCTGCTAACGTGGGTTTTTGTTTATTTCTGAGACAAGGTCCTGGCTGGCTTGGAACACTCATTGTAGACCAGGCTGGTCTCAAAGTCACCTGCTTTTGCCTCCTTATCATGCGTCCACATCTAGCACTCCTGAAACATCTGGAAACATCTCTTACCTCTACTTAAGAACCTTAACACAGAGAATTAAGGATAGTTAAGAATAATAACATGAAACAAATAGCTGAATACATGTTTTCATTAAGAAAAACACCAGGAAGAAATAACCACAAATAGTTACTTATAAAAATAAATTGATTGCAGCTTTGGGCTATGTGTGATGGACTTTTTACTCCGGGTCCTTCTCTGGTGGGACAACTTCCATCAGCAACTGCAGGTGCTTGGTGACCGGCCCTGGAACAGAAGCCAAGGCAAAAATGCAGTTAGAAGAGTGTGGTCACAGGCTTCCGTTCTCTGACTCTGGTGATGTGCTGTCCTTCTCCTGACAGCCTGCCCTGAGGGACAACTGAGGGTCAGAACCGCCCCACTCACTGCGTCAGCTTTCAGACTGGTTATTTCCCTACCAAGAAGTAAGAACTCGCAGTTTTATTTTCTCCCCGACAATCCACACTGCAGGAAGAACAAGATGCAGTTAAGTGTTTGCAGCTGAGCTCTTAATGAATCTGAGGTAACCGAGACTACATTTTGTTTAAAATACAAATTTTTTTGCTTTACTTTCACCAACTTAAGCCACGTCAGTGGTTTCTGTGCTTTGTTTGTTTGAGACAGGGTCTTGCTGTGTAGCCCAGGCTGGCCTCAAATGCATGGTCCCCCTGGCTCAGCCTCCTGAGAGCTATGGTTTGCCGTCGAGCCCCAACAGTTCCTAGAGGAGCAGCTTGGCTCTCTAGGTTGCCAGTTATCCTGCCCGGATGGCCAACTGCAACTTCACTCTGGCGGTCTGCACCTTTCCGCAGCCTTTACTCTCTCTTTGAAGAGGTTTGGGGCTAGTGAGTCAGGAAGGAGATCACCATAGTTTACTTTGGTCAATAGGAAATTAATTTTCCTCCTTAATTCTTGTATTGCTATGAGGTAAGTGAGGTGCCAGCGTTCCCAGCTGAGTGAGTGTGGGCAGAGGGTCCGGCACCGCTCAGGCTGAAGGTGGCTTTCCCCACCTGTGAACCTACTTGGCGCTCTGCCTGAGCCCTGGGCCACAGGGGTGTGTCCACCATGTGGAAAGGCTAGAGGAGCATTCTGCTTAAAAAGCAGGTTTTTCTTTTTTATTTGTTGATAGGGCCTTTGTGTAGCCCCCCTCCCTCAGCCTCACTGCTGGACTGCAGGCTCACACTGAGTCCACTGGAAGAGGGGTTTTACTAACACTCAATTAACACCCAGTGGCTTTAGCACACAGTACCCAGGTTAAACTGCACAGCCCAACCCTTGTCTTTAAGGGACACTCTCTGTGCATACAGAGAGGAGACAAGCTAGGGTTCCATCCCCACCTGGTGATGCTCAGGGACTTTGAGACTTTGGTAAATGGAGTTTCTTGTGACGTAGTCTGCTTTATGGCAAAAAAAAAAAAAAGCACTGAGTGTGATATAGTGAGACTTTACAAGTAAGGCGCAGCTGAGTTCGTGACACCTGGAACCCCAGCACTAGTGAGGTTGAGGCAGGAAGACCTAGAGTTGGGGTGCCAGCCAACCCAACACCAGGTACGGGTCAGGCTGTTCGTGCTGCTTGGCACTGACTTTCCATCTAGAAAAGGGGGAGCTAATGCAACTAGCCAAATAGCATTTTTCTTTCTTTTTCGTTTTTCTTTTTGGTTTTTTTGAGACAGGGTTTCTCTGTAGCTTTCAAGCCTGTCCTGGAACTCACAGAGATGACCTACTTCTGCCTCCCGAGTGCTGGGATTAAAGCCACGGCTCCACCACTGCCTGGCTTGTTCAAGGTCAGCCTGGTCTACAAAGTGAGTTCCAGGACAGCCAAGGGTACATAGAGGAACCCTGTCTCCAAAAAACAAAACACTTATCCAGACAGCTGAGAATCAGGTCAGCAGAACACAGAGACCTGTGGCCTCGGTGTAGGGGGACTCAGGCCCTTGTCCCATACCTGTTTCTAGCTATAACTCTGGGATGTCTTTGGGATGTTACTGAGCCTCTTAGATGTCTGCCACGGGTCTCTCAAAAGAAAGCAGTGACCAGGGCTACACTGAGGTCCTGCCTCAAAACAACAGAAGCTGGTCTTCCTGAGAGAGCCCATCTAATGAGATGCTGTAGATGTTGCTGAGCTACACCCTCAGGGCAGTCCTAATGGTAAATTGTTATCAGCTAGTGTGTACTTTGCAGTACAAAATAAAATGGTACTTTCCCCTTCTCCTCATAGTATAGAGGGGTACGAGGGACACCAAAGGTGGACCCAGAGGGTGACACTGGGGAGTGCAGTCCTGAAGGAGTGATGTGCTGGAAGTGAAAGTCAGAGGCACTTGGCTTCCAGACATTCTCTCGACACTTACTGGAGATTCTCTGGGCCCATCCGAACTTGTAGTGAACAAACAGGAAGTAGAATATGAGTCCACTCAGTATGAAGAGTACACAGTAGAGATACTCCCAGGCTGGCTTACTGATGATCGGGGCCAACACCAAAAAAACGGAGATGAGAATCACCAAGATAGGGATGACGATGGGGACCTGCAAGCAGAGCATCAGCACGTCAGCCGCACCGCCCTTGTTCCCTCAAACTGAAAAACCACACGTGTGGACCAAGCTCAGCGCTTTTGCCCGTCTTTTCACCCCTTCCAACGCTGGCTTGTCTCTGCTAGAATCTAAAAAAGCAGATGCTTCATCTGAGCTACAAAGAAAGTGTGCATCTCTAGCAGATTAAGGCTTCATGCTTTTAACTTCCATATTTCCTCTCCTGCCTTGCCTCTCTTGTCTTGGAGAAACTGGATGACCAATGGCATTCAATGTGGGTATTTTCCTCCACAGGTTAACTCTCATTTCCTGCAAACAGGAGATTGGAGGTGAAGGAAGGAACACACACCTTGCCGTTCACATGCCTCGAGGGGGGCCTCTTAGATGTTCAGAGCCTGCTGTGAGTCTACGCTCTGAACCCAGGCTGTTCGCCACCTCTCTTTAGTCTTCAGAACAGACCTCAGTTTATTTTCGTAGTGTGGATCTGGACCTGATGCAGACGGAAGGAGGAGTTTTCACGTCACCTGTTAGTGTGTTTGATTCTGTTTGTCCTGCAGTTTTGTGAACACTGTTGCTGGGAAATCCGTGAGTAGGTTTCCGGTTTCCTAGCTATTAACTCAGAGTTGTCATTTCTGACTTTTAGCAATGCATTGTCTTTTTTTCATCTTTGTCTTAAGTGCTGTTTTGAGTTGTTTGAAAGAAAATGGCTCCCCCAAGGGAGTGACACCATTTGGAGGTATGACCTTGTTAGAGGAAATGTGTGCTGTGGAGATGGTTTTTAAGGTCTCAGATATGCTCAAGCCACACCCAGTGAGACGGAAAACATCCTGTTGCCTTTGGATCAAGTTGTAGGACTCAGCTCCAGCACCATGTCTACCTGCATGCTGCCGTACTCATACCTCCCCGCTATGGTGATAATGAACTAAACCTCTGAAACTGTAAGCCACCAACTCAGTTGAATGTTTTCCTTTTTAACAGTTGCCATGGTCATAGTGTTTCTTCACAGCAATAGAAATCTTTAACTAAGATACCTGATACTTCTCCCTCTCTATGCCTCCCTTCGCCCCAAGACAAGGTCTCATATAGAAAGACGTATCCCTGGCTGGCCTAAGCTCATAGCAATCTTTCCTTCTTCATCACTGAGTGCCGAGGTTGCAGGAAGGTCGGTTCCAAAGTCCCCATCATTGTGTAAGCATGTCAGAACTGGGTAGGGGCGGGGTGCAGATCCTCCCTGCAGCCTGATGCGTGAGTTCACCAGCAGCTGTGTGGACCATTAGCCGTCCTTTGAAATGAGCAGGAGGAGGCTCAAGAGCATAGCAGGCAGGATGGCATCAGAAATGACTGCCTCCCTTTTTTTCACCCAGAAACCAAAGCTGCTGTGACATTCAGACACAGACTTACCTTGATGGGCCTTTCTAGGTCTTTCCTTGTGAATCTCATCACCACGAGTCCTAGAATTGTCATCCCATAAAACAGCCATGCAGCAAAACTGAAATAATTGACCAGGGAGTTGATGTCCCCGGGGATGATGTAAATGATGGCTATGATGCCCTAGTAGGAAGAAGAGTGACATTCTAGTCCTCGGTGTACACAGACATTGTTGTCCTCACAGAAGACAGAAGCAACAGCATCCACTATGTGGGGCCTGCCTCTGCCTCCCACCAGGCTGGCTCAGCCTGACTGAGTTGTTCTCGAGGCTCTACAAGAAGAACTTGGACAGTTTTGAGTCTATAAAGTTGTGCCCTTGCATATGTACACTCTCTCACATGCATGTGTGTGCACGCACATGTACACACAAAATCTTTATAGCCCAAGCTAGCCTGGAACTTGTGAACTTCCCACCTCAGCCTCCTGAGTGCTGGGATTGTAGATATGGACCACCATGTCTGACCTAAAGTCATGATGTTGAGAAGAAACAATGCATATATTTTGTGCACCAGTTTTATAAGGCTGACTTAACTTGGGGAGAGTTTTCACTACAGGTCGTCACCTAGTGAAACTCAGGTCCAGTTGGGACTGCAGTTGTGGCCTGGAATGCCGGTTTCTGGGACTGTTTGCTCATATTCAGAGTGGGGAAATGGACATCATTGTAGTCCTTTAGCCCTAAGCCAGGTCTACCTGTCCCTAAGAAACCACAGCCAAGTTAACAGGCTGAAGTCGGAGGCCATTAGCTGCCAGGACGTTCCTTATTCCCACTCTGAAGCTATAGGCCTTTATGTTGTATGACTCAGAACAGATCAGTCCATACGTTTAAGAAGCAGAGTGCATAAGCTTGGAAGATTCTGGGTTGTCTCAGGGAATGAGGGAGCCTGGCTCACTCAGAAAGGCCTGGGCTCGAGAGCGCAGGTCTACTTCATCTACTGCAGAGAGAGATGGCCTGCTTTCTAGCCACGGCTGCTGTGGCTCCGGCTGGTGTCGTCAGGCAGCGCGCATACTTACATAAAATATGAGGGCAGGGGCGGGTGTGAGGCGCTTGACGCTGACGTACGAGAGCACTTTGAGCATGTGACCCTCTCGGCCTGCCACATAGATGAGTCTGAAAGAACAACGCGGGAGCACTGAGGATGCACCTCCGAGGTCACCTCTGAGGTCACTGCCGAGGACGTGCTAGTGTGTCCTCCAGAAGGGGCTGCAGGGCCAAGTATGGTGGCTACTGCACTGGGAGGAGATCATCCCGGCTCTGTGGAAGTCATTAGGGCAGGGGGTAGCATGGTTTATGAGTAGATACTTGCTCGACTCCCAAAGTTATACAAGAAGAAAAAAAGCATAAACTAGTCCAGGGTATGGAACCCAGTCAGGGCAAGGAAACAAACACACACACCCTCGTCCCTGGGGCTCCTGTGTTCTAAAGGCACAATAGGGTGCCTGAATAGACACGAGTGACAGACCCCTTTCCCAAATTCCTCCTCATCCAGCAAACAGACTGTTTAATATGTGGCGCGGAGATAGACGAAAGCTCTAAAATATGTAAGAACGTTGCCATGCTCAAGAATTCGAGAGCACTTGCTGATCTTCCAGAGGACCCGAGCTCAGTTTCCAGTCCCATGGCAGGTGACTCCTAATTGTCTGACACCTTTGGCACCCCATATGCCCTCACAGAAAAATAAAATGGGGGCTATAAAGATGGCTCAGTAAAGGCTGCATACTCCTCTTGCATAGGACCCATCTTGAATTGCCAGTATGTATGCTGGGTGGGTCACAAATGCCTGTAACTCCAGCTTCAGGGGACCTGATGCCTCTGGCTTCTGTGCTATCCTATTCACATGCACATACTAACACACAGGCACACATAGATGCACATACTAACACACAGGCACATGAACTTAAAATTGACCATAAAATCTAAACAAAATATTTCTCAAGTATTTATGTCAGTAATGTTTAGTTGGAAGCTCTGCTCTAGCCTCTTTACCTCAGGCCAAACTCTGCCCAGCTGAGAACCAGGCCCCACTCCTCCCATTGCAGACCCTGCCCCTGAGAAAGCCTGCCAAGGGTCAACTCCTCCCTTGGAGCTGTTCAAGACACCATCCTACAAGGTATTTAAGACCCAATCCCTAGACCTGCCACGTAATTTCTCTCCTGCCTTTCCCAAAGTCGCCCAGGAGTTGCTTTATTATGTTTATTAAAACCTGGTCTTATTAATTTTACTGGATTTGGTTGATTCCATTGGCAGAGAAATGACAAACCAAGGATTTTTCAAAATACTTATCAATAAAGACTACAGTTTCTAGCTACAGTGTAGTAAAATTACATAGGCCAAAGACATCTCCCAGAACACCTTGGCAGCCTCTCTGAAAGAGCCATGATTTAGGGAGAGGCACTGGCTGCGTAAGGGCACATGCTCCATTAAGTCTTTTCTTGAGAGAAATGTCTACAACATAATTTTCATAATTTTGTAAGCAACTAAGGAAATCAGACAGGTCTTATTTAGTAGACTGGCTCTTTTTCATTATTGTTCGGGGTTGAAATCAGGCCCGGGCACATGCTGAGCACAGTTCTGCTGCTGAGCCACATCCAGACCAGTACTGCAGCTTTAGCATCATAAACGTGGGAACCACTTTGCTCTCCCGGATGCACACTGGATAAGGACTTAAAATTTATGTCAGCTGATACTTGGGGTTCTGCAATCTAAATACATTTGTAGGTTTTATGTCAGCAAAAAATAAAAATATAAAAGTTTATTTAGATTGTAGAACAACCTCAGCAACTTTAGCTTAGAGAGAAAAATCCTTCCAGCTGAAAATCAGGGTCTCGCTGGGCGGTAGTGGCACACGCCTTTAATTTTAATCCCAGCATTCAGGAGGCAGAGGCAGGCAGATCTCTGTGAGTTCAAGGCCAGCCTGGTCTACAGAGCAAGTTCCCAGGCAGCCAGGACTTCACAGAGAAACCCTGTCTCAGAAAACCGAAAAATAAAATAATAAAAATTCAAGTTATTGTGTAAGCTAGCAATTTTATTCCTAGGAATTTATCCAAGATGAAAATATGCTCCACAAAAAAAATACATACATGAAAAAAACAGATGAATTTCATAATAATATTAAGCTTATAACACAAAGTTCAACAGGTGATAAGCGTTGTTTACCATACAGTGGAGTGCTATCCCTCAGGGAGAGAAATGCACTGATACACTGCCATTTGGATGAACTCAGTCACATGCTATCTTGAAAGAATCAGCTGCAAACATCATTTAGATGAAAGCTACAGAACAGGCACAGCTGTGGAGGCAGGAAGCTGCCCAAGGGGCAGATGGAAGGAAGAACAGATGAGGTAGAAGGAAACGCCTAGGGACGTTGGATGCATGTTAGAACTGGGTTATAAATGACGCCTGCATGACTTTATGTTTACCACATGTTGTAAAATTACAAGAGCAAAGTCTGAGGGAACTTAAAGTGATACAGATGTCAGATCTTTATCTGTGAACTAGGTGTGGTGGTGTACACCTTTAATTCCAGCACTGGGCAGAGGAGGGCAGATGCAGGCGATCTCTGAGAGTTAGAGGCTATCCTGATCTACATAGTGTCAGGCCAGCTTGGGCTCCAAAGTAAGACTCTCAGAATATTTGTACTTATTTACACTGCCAAGAAACTATTGGAAATGATATTTAAAATCTGCATGACAAACTAGCATGGAGAAATAAGCAGTGCTTTGGAATAAATATGACAGAAGATGCTCAAGAATTGTATACGAAACTCAAAAACCTGAGGAGGGTCGCAGTCTGTGCCATGAGCTGGAAGACTTAGTGTTCACAAGACTCAGTCTCCCCATGTGTATTGAAAGAGGCAAAAGAGAAGCACCTATTCCTCTATAGCAGGAGACCCATCAAAACCATAGCCGACTTCTCAGCAGCAATTTTAAAAGCCAGGAGGAGTGGGCAAAGGATCCTGCTTCCAAGCCTCTCAATCAGAGTTCGGGCCACAGGAACCATATGATGAACAGAACTAACTTCCAAACATTGTCCTCTGACCCACACACACACGTGTGTGAGATGTGTGTGCCCATACTCAAGACCCATACATGCAATTTTTATAAAGCAAAGAAGTCTTGAAATGAGAGAATTATCAACCCACATGACTACAGCCAGCAAAGGTATATGTTATAATTGGAGAAGAAAAACTTCCTATAATAAAAACATTCTAAAGGAATTCATTACCACTAAACTGACTCTACTAAAGATACTTGAAGGAGCTGATCCATGGTGGTACATGCTTTTAATCATAGCACTCGGGAGGCAGAGGCATGTGGGTTTCTACGAGTTCAAGGCCAGCCTGGTCTACAAGAGCTGGTTCCAGGACAGAGTTGTTACACAGAGAAACCCTGACTCGAAAAACAAAACAAAAAAGGAAAGAAAGAAAGGAAGAAAGAAAGACAGAAAGAGGGAAAAAAAGATAATTGAAGGAATCTTTCAGAAGGAAGTGGAAAACGGCAGCATCCGTGAGGCTGCGAGAAAGAATAATCTATGCTAGAATAATAAAACTAGGAAAACCTCAAACACCCCAAAATCAGAAAATGGCAGGTACCAATGCACACATTTCAATAGCAGAATATATATGATCTTAATTCCCTGATTTAAAATACACAAGCTAGCAGATTGACTCAGAAGGGGATCATGTTGGACATGCTGGTGCGTGCCGTTACCTCAGGCAGAGGCCGGTGCTGTGAATTCCAGGACAGTAGGCAATGGGGAGAGACCCTGGCTCAAATAATTAAACAAAGTGGGCCTTACCCAACTGTTGGCTCTGAGAAGTTGGTGTTTCGCCAGAAAAGACAGCATAGGGTGAAAGAATGGAAATGGTATTTTTAAGCAAATGGTATGGGCAATAAGTAGGTGTTGCTGCTCTAATATATAACAAAATAGACTTCAAACTAAAATTAGAAGGTTACCTGACACTGATTAAGGAAGCCCATAAATCAACAGCAAGGAAAAACCATAGAATATACGCAGACACGTGAACTTCCCATATACACTCAGGAGATTGTGTGGCGTCCACGGCAACAAAGTTAGATGAGCTGGAGTTGCGGCTGCCCTACAGAGACTTACACTGATGGGCAAAAGATGACGCAGAAAGATGACAAGAGAATGAGATGTCAGGACCTCCCTTCTTTAAAAAAGATAGCTCATGCAGAGGCCCTGTGATGTTTTATGGTCAAAGAACAAAAGAAGGCCAGGATTAGACATATAAACAAATTCTATAAAGATAGAGGATGTAGACATTATATTATGCCAGAATTTGAATAATAACTGTAGCATCTCTGGCCTGAGAAATTTTCTTGGGCACTCTGATCGTTAAGAATTAATAATACTGGCCAGGCGGTAATGGTTCACCTTTAATCCCAATACTTGGGAGGGAGAGGCAGGTGGATCTCAGTGAGTTCAAGGCCAGCCTGGTTTATAAAGTGAGTTCCAGGACAGTCAGGACTATTACACAGAAAAAAACATGTCTCAAAAAACCAAAAAACAAAAAAAGAGTTAACCAGACACTGCTTGGGACATGGCAATCTGCCCAGCTGGCTTGGAGATTTTCTTTTTGGCTAGCATCCTTGAGGCCACAAAAACTCCTTGTCCGAGAACAGAGCAGGCTGTCATACGCCTCTAGATTCTTAAAGATTGGGCTGTGGGGTTAATGAGTAAAGATGATTATAAAAGGTAACTGTTTATAAATGATGATTAAACTTTAAGGAAAATTATTTAAAAGATAACTCTGTCTGGGTGGTGGTGATACACACCTTTAATCCCAGCACTTGGGGGTGGAGGCAGGTGGATCTCTGAGTTTGATGCCAGCCTTGTCTATGTAGTGAATTCAAAGCCAGTCTGACCTACAGAGCAAGTTCTAGGACAGCCAGAGCTACACAGAGAAACCCTGTCTCAAAAAAAAAAAAAAAAAACAAAACAAAAACAAAAGAAGAAGAAGAAGAAGAAAAAGATAACTCTATTCTGTCAGTTTATCAATGATGACCAAAAGATATGCAAGAGGAAATGAAACATGTCCAAAACCAAAAACGATATGACCTGTGTTTTATAACAACATGAATCTGTCCCTGCTTACTAAATTCTAGTCAGTCAGGCTGCAAGAGTCTCCCAAGCATCATGCCTGGTTCGCCTTTCTCTTGCTGACTCCTTACCCCCTCTCTGGGACCTGTCTACTGCCAGGTGGCCCCTGGCATACACTGACCTCTACGTGGGCATTATAGCACTTGCATGCTCACAGACATACGTGCATGTACACAAATAAGTAGGATAAAAAATAATTTCAAGTTTTAATATAGAAAAAGTCTTCCACATCTTTAGCCTCTGGAAATAATTTTGAGATTCCGTTCATGCTAGTCAAAGTGGTTGCTATCTAGAAAACTGATGTCAGTGAGTGCTGGCAGAGGTGTGCAGAAAGAGGACCCTTCGTCACTGCCAGTGGGATTGTAAACTAAAAAGGCAGCGCGAGGCTCCCCAGAAAACCCAAACCAGGTCATTCATCTAGCTCAGCTTAACGCTCATGGGTAGGAGAAATCCAAAAGACTCTTAAATCCTACTACAAAGATTTACATCTATGCCTACTGCTGTTTTATTGATGTGTATTTCAAAACTGCTAAGAATTTATGTGAAATATTCCCACCAGAAAAACACGCTAAGCATGGGAGCAATGGATAGGCTAATGTGCTCATTCTACAATACGTACGGGTATCGAAACATCACATTGTAGCTCAGAAACACACGCACTTATTTGCTAATTAGGAAACAAAATTTACATTTACCAGCAAAGCATGTTTTTCTTTCCTCTCTGTCTCCCTCCCCTTCCTCACTCCCTTCTTTCCTTCTTTCCTTGCTAGGGATGGAACACAGGACCTGGAGCATGCTCAGCAAGCAGTGCACCATCAATCCATGACCTGAGCCCAGAATGCTTTGGGAAAAGTTGGGGGCCAGGCCCTATACACACTTTGCTATGGCGTTAGCAGAATTATTTAGTGGTCTGCATTCATTTTTAACATGATATTTGGCAACACCACCTGGAAATCTATTCATTCAGAGCACTACCCTGAGCAAAGACGTGTCCAGGAATGTTCCCCTCAGCAGTGTTCATAGAAACAACTCGCACTTGGCCCATCCAAGTTTATCAAATGTTTATGAAATGCACTTATTTAGACAAAAAGGGGAAGGTGATGGGGAACCTCCGTCAGCCAATGACCTTTAAGAGGCTGGACCAGGATAGGGTGTGGTCTTTTGTGTACCCAGAGAAAACCGCGGGCCTGCCCAGCTGGCTCGCTCATGTTCCCGCATTACACACCTTGAGGGTTGGACTTCTCATTCCTGTTCCGTGAGTTTTCCCCTTACACTAAGATAATAACTAAAGTCTTTTAGAGTTAGCTGAGATCATTCAGCTCGCGTCCTCTCCCCCTGTTACGCACTCGGCTACACAGAGGCTTTGTTAAAGAATGTGTCTCGCACCGTGGGAACTGGAGAGGGGCTGACCCGAACACCTGTCCACGGGACTGACCCCACCGCTGTCCAGAGCTTCACAGAGTTGAACTACAACAGAGACTGACGCAGCCTGTAAGCCTACAGCGTCAGCCAGCATCTGACCATTTACAGGAAAGCCTGTCAATTCTCGGTCAAGTATGTGCATGTGCTAGTATGACAGAATGTTCAGGAAGGACCATCCGGGGAGAACATGCAACACAGAAAGTCCCACATGGAAGCTAAGCCTGTTCATCTGGTGACCCTTCCCTCTGCCTGGCCTTCCCTGATATGGAGCCCAGGTCCCCCAGACCGCACAAGCCGGCCCCAACTCACCCAGCAAGGCTGCCTACCCTTGGCTACTTTACTTTGAGGTTCAAGCCCCACCCCTTGTCTGTTCTTCAGAGTTTGTACACGTATACCCAGCATGCTCTGGGCTCGGCTCCATTGGGGTTTCACCTGGCAGAGCCCTCGGGATGCAGGGAGTCTCTCACTGACTTGGTTTCCCCGCCCACCCTGAGAGAGTGACAAGATGGGTATCCTACCTGCCTGCTGTAAAGCAGGTTCCATTAGCAGCACCAATGGTTGAAAAGGCCACAAAAAGGGGGACCACCCAGGATGCGGGATAGAGAACGCGGTCACCGAAGGTCTGGAGAAAAGCAGAGTGCAATCCTGAGAGCTCTCCCTGGGCACCCACGTCCCCACATCACCGAGTCACTGTGCACAGCCCTTGGGGCCCTCTGCTGGAGACGAGGGAGAAGCCTTCAGAGCTGCCCAGTCTGGTTGGTGGCAGGACTCTTGTCTACCCTGCCATCTTTCTCAGACACTTCCTGGCCCTTCCTCATCTTGGTCACCTCATTTTCAAGCTCCACCTCATCTTACCTCACCTCCTGAACATAGCTTCTTATTTATCGTCTTTCTTGGCCCCAGCTCACCTCACTCACTCTGTGACCCTACCTCACCTTAGTTACCTCACTTCCTGGATCTATCTCACCTTAATTACCTCACTTCCTGGATCTATCTCACCTTAGTTACCTCACTTCCTGGATCTATCTCACCTTAGTTACCTCACTTCCTGGATCTATCTCACCTTAATTACCTCACTTCCTGGATCTGCCTCACCTTAATTACCTCACTTCCTGGATCTACCTCACCTTAGTTACCTCACTTCCTGGATCTATCTCACCTTAATTACCTCACTCCTGGATCTACCTCACCTTAATTGCCTCACTTCCTGGATCTACCTCACCTTAGTTACCTCACTTCCTGGATCTACCTCACCTTAGTTACCTCACTTCCTGGATCTACCTCACCTTAATTACCTCTGTTAGTCTTCTGCTGCCACTTTAAGAACTAACCACACCCACCACAACCACTTTTGGACCTCCCCCGCAGCCATCTTCTCTCTCTCTCTCTCTCTCTCTCTCTCTCTCTCTCTCTCTCTCTGGTGCGTGTGTGTGTGTGTGTATGTGTGTGTGTGTCTTTGTTTTCTCTATGTTTGTCTATGTTTTCCTTTCTTTAAGTAATAAATGTCTAGCTTTATGTATAGCCTTATGTCCATTTACTCTGCCATCCACCGCCTGACTCTGCCGCTCGCCCAGGGACCCTGACTTCCCGGCCGCATGGTGCTGCCACTTGCAGCTGCTCTGCGAGCTGCCCGTGACATCCCACCATGGTATTATTTTTAAAAGAACAATAACCTCACTTCCTGGATCTACTTCACCTTAATTACCTCACTTCCTGGCTCTACTTTGTTTTACTTTACTTCTTACTTCCTTGATCCCCCTCATTGGGCATGACCTTACTTTAATCACCAGCCTCAGGGTTCATGGACTTTTCTGCTGTCCTCGGTGCCCTGGTGCCCTTACTCTGCTTCAATCCTGTCACTAAAATCACCTCCTTCCGCTCACTTGCGCTCTCCTTCTCCCTCTGTGGACATCTGGGAGGGAGGCTGAGGACCCGGGACCCACAGCCCACTGCATGCTGTCTTACTAATTTTGACCCCCAGCCTAGATATGGCTTCCTGTTCTCCGAGTCTCCCTCCTTCCAAAGGTCACAGCCACAGCGACTTACCACAGCCACAGCCTGGGACTGCAGGAGCTCTGTCGGAGTCATCACCGTGAAGTAGGAAACATTCATGAGGATGTAGCACACTGTCACCAGAGGAATGCCAATGACAATGGCCATGGGCAGGTTTCTGAGAGGGACAAAGGCACAGGATCCCAGAGTCACCCCAGAGCATCCTGTGAAAGTGCTGAGATGGATATTTCCTTCCTGTCCGTCAGCCGTGCTTCTGCTCTGTGCTGCACTGGGGTCCCAGATGCCCTTCTTGGGGCCACCAGGCTGGGGATCTGTGGTAAGGTGGCCCCAGCAAAGACAAGAGTCATTTCCCCAGGGCTGGAGAACTGAGTGGTTTCGAGCAAAGTAAGGCAGAGATAAAGGAAGTCAATGTTCTTCCTACCAGTTACCAACCATGCCACTGCCCAGCAATGACAAGCCGATGGGAATCATGAGCACACAGAGGACCCAGTGGAGGGCGCTTGCCCAGCCTGCTCGAGGCCCTGGGTTCAGTGCCCATGGGGCGGGGGTGGGAATCCACGGAGTGGAAGAGGAACAGGAAATAGCAGAGCAGTGGAAGGACGCCGCAGCGCCACTCGGTGCCCCACAGAGGAGAAACCCTCCACAGGAGCACGACCCTGCCCCATGCCACACTCTTACCTGTAAGGGTTTCTAAGCTCCTCGGTGATGTAGTTAAGTTGATTCCTGGACAAAGAAAAGAACGAAGGGTTGACTCGTTTTAAGATTTCTACCGTGGGAGCTAAAGGCAGAATTCAGCATAAGGTGTCTACCTAGAATTCCCCAGTGAGAGGCGGGGTTGGCTCAGAGATGGAAAGCTTTCTTAGCGTGTGCAAAGCCCTGGGTCCCATCCCCAACATTAAAAATAGAACAAAATAAAACAGCGCAAGGAGTAGTAAGTACCGAATAAAGAGGCCACAGACAGCTTTCCTAGATCAACGCAGGGGAACCTCTACCCCATAGGTTCTGGTGGTGACAGACCTCGCAACTGTCAAGCGCTAGGTGTCTGTCAGGGGCTAGGTCTTTGCCCTCTGTGGAAATCACGTAAATTTTCAAAAATATTCAGGATACTTTGAAAATATGGAAAGAGTTTGAAAGAAGGATGAAGCCTATACTGGTGGCACAGGGGTGGGGATGGGGGGCAGTGTCACCCTGGCCATTCTGCAGCCTAGAGGAGTGCAGGCACCACCCATCTGATGTCTGCAGTGCCTCTCTTCGGCTCAAACGGGTTCTCCTGGTGCAGATTCTCAACAAGGCCTCCCCAACTACCCATTCACAGTTCCAGGCTAGGAAAGGGGCAAGGGTCTGAACTCCATGACTCATCCACAGAGTAGGAGGGACATGGGAAGATAAGGGTTTGGGCACTTCACATAAAGGAACCATGAAGGTGACGTTAAGGGCGCCATCTTTGGTTTCTGTAGGAGCTCAAATGAAGGCACCCTAAAGACCCCACTCATAGACAGAAGAGCTTACCACCCATCATAGGCCCAGAGTCCATTGTAAAATGCCAGGCTGATGGCGCCCACAGAGGTCTGCACACCCTCAAAAGAATTCTGAAAGTTCTTCGTGTTTCCTGAAATTTAGCCAGATAATGAAGAGTGAGTATCAGCTGGCCAGATGTTGGCTTTAGCCCCTTCTCTGCCAGAAAGAAGGGTATGTATGACTTGTGACCCCAGTCCATTAAAGGAAACGAAACTACACGTCTGTCTGTCATCCCAGCACTCGGCACACTGATGATCTAACTGGATCATCTCCAGGTAGAGACAAGCCTGGGCTGTATAGTGAGTTACTGTATCAAAAATAAACAACTAAAAACCAACAAACAAGCACAAGTACATAAAACACGCGTGCGCACGGGCAAGACTGCTCCAGAAGACAAGAAGTCCCATGCCAGGTGGGGCCTGCCATCCAATCCTGCTGCAGCTCACCTTGGGCCAGTAACACCAGTCCGCTAATGATGATGATGGCGACGATTACCAGCTTGGCCGCCGTGAAGAAGTTCTGGACGTAGCTCCCAAGCCGCACGCTCAGCGCGTTCACTGTCGTGATGAGCACTGGGGAGGCCCAAGCGGGGTAACATTCTGTAGCCGTGGTTTTCCCAAGGTCCTGGAAATGTCTTTTCTAGTCCTCCACCCCCATCCACCTCACATTCTTAATGAGGGGAATAGAACTGAACAAGCTTGCCTCAGCACCTTTAAAGGGCTCACGGGGCTGACCCTTGAAATCCTGCCCAGTCTCAGACTGATGGGGAAGCAGCCAGGCCCTGGACAAGGAAAGCCCCTCCTCACAGCTGCCACAGGCCCGGGTTTGCTCAACACCTGCCAGGAAAGTCAACCCTGGCCCACTTCACCAGACCCTACTGTGCCTCTCTCTGGGGAAGGGGAAGCCAAGGTTAGAGTCCCAGAACGCCAACCATGCACCTTCCCTGCCTTCTTCTGGGGCCTGAAGCTTGGTACTCACTAATGGCGGCGGCAGCCAGGAGTTTCACGACCACTTTAGGAGGGTTGCAGCCTGAGTAAAAAGCTGCACACACGTACTCCGAGAAGCTGAGGCAAATGATGGCGAAGGAGGAGGGCTTCATGACCATCAGGCTGGTCCAGGAGAAAAGGTAGGCGGGGATGGGGCCAAAGGCCTCCATCAGGTAGGGGTACTCACCCCCCGACTTGGTGATCATTGTGCCGAGCTCTGCAAAACACAGGGCACCTGGAACACAGAAGAAGGGACCCCGTCCATCGTGAAGCTTCAGCCTATCCACAGCCTTCCTCCTTTGAGGGCTCACGTTCTGAATCGCCCAATTCTGCCCGCTGGACCTTTAACTACAGCCAGATTTGCCCTTATTTACCACACACCCGTTGGAAGACACCCAGTTGGGAATGGCGGTACCCCAAAACTTAGGAAGAGAGAAAGTTGGAGACCCACCCAGGCTACAAAATGAGACCCTGTGCTTGCGTGGCTTGTCTCCACACTGGAAGGGGAGGGGTCACTAGGGAGTCGCCTCCCTTACCCAGTGTAGCCAGGATTCCACAGGCTGCCCATATGATGAGACAGGGCCCCACAGATTCTGTGTTGGCCAGCACAGACTTGGGGGAGATGAAGATGCCGGAGCCGATGATGGTGCCCACAATAATGCAGATGCCACTGATGAGGCCCACCTGTGTATGCAAGGACAGAGCTAATTCTACCAGCAAGGAGTTTGCTGGGCCAGAGGTGACAGCCCCTCTCCCCAGCTCCAGGGTGGCCAGAACAAGCCAAAATGACTCATGTCCCAGGCGTGTCCACTCTGTGCAGCTGTCATGGGAACATCAGGCCCCTTTCCTGCCACATAGACCCCAGGACCGTCACATGTTTTGACTATCACACTCATTTCACTACTGGGGGAACTGAGGCCCAGAAGCCGAAGGCAAGGCTTCCTTCAGTGTAAACCACTGAGTTAGTCAACAGGCTTTCAGAAGCAGCCTGTAGAAAATGCCTCTGTTGGTCAGAGCAGCAGGAAAGAGTTCTTCATGGGCATGACAAGGGACACCGGGATCCCTGGGAAGCCGAGGCCAGCCTAGGCTGCATACTGACATTCTCTTTTAAAAAGAGAGTACCCCGGAGCAGTTTTTGTTGACCGTAAATATGTATTATTCTCATTGGTTAATAAAAGATAACTGACAGGTAGAGGATGGGCGGGGCTTGCAGACATAAAGAAAGCATGGGGAAGAAGAAGTTGGGGATCAGGAGTCATGAACAGAAGCAGAGAGACACAAGATGAACTTGCCATGTTTTTTTTTTTTTTAAAAAAAAAAAAGGTAAGCCGGGCAGTGGTGGCGCACGCCTTTAAACTCAGCACTCGGGAGGCAGAGGCAGGCAGATCTTTGTGAGTTTGAAGCCAGTCTGGTCTACAGAGTGAGTTCCAGGACTGGCTCCATAGCTTTTGGGAAAGAGTACAGATAAGAAATATAGGTTAATTTATGTTGTAAGAGCCAGTTAGTAATAAGCATAAGCTATCAGCCGAGCATTAATAATAATAAGTCTCGGTGTGGTTTTGTGGTTATTTGGGAGCCTACAGTCCTGAAGCTTCATATCAACAGCAGGGAGCCCACTGGTGACATTGGCAGAGTTCCTACGGTGAGTACTGCAGGTGCCTGAGCTTCCTAAGGAAAAACAAAACAGGTGAGGAAAGCAACCAGATGGCTCAGGCAGGAGGATCAGGAGCTCACAGGCATCCCTGGCTGTGCTGTGAGTTTAAAGCTTTCCTACAAAGGAAAGAAAGAAAATCTGCACATTTCATTTTGTCTAAATTTAATACCAACTAATGAGTCAAAGAATTAAGTAAGATTTTTTTTAAAAAGTAAAAAGCTGACTCAGGTCTGTACTTAATACCTCTGCCCAGGGCTCTGCAAACACACATGGAGAATGTGGGGAGCAAGACCAGCTTCCGTCCAGCTTTAGGCTGGACAGGGCTGCCTGGGCTTCCTTTCCTTCCTTGACCTCCCCTCCCTGACCAGGGTGCGGGCTTGTGTCATGTCATCTGGAGGCCTCCAGAACCTTCCTCCTGCAGAAGAAGTGTCCAAATTCAGAACCAGTAGCCTATATGAGGCAGCGCCAGGGTCCCAAGGTCCCAAGAAGAAACTGCTGGAATCAGGACTCAGACTGATGGAGAGGACAGTATCACTGTCCAAGGCCTGACTGCTGGGGACAAAGACTCCATACCGACCTATGCTTGGAACGGATTATTCCCCATCAGGCCACAAAGCTTCCCGGCATCCCTCTCCAGTCCCTCCACCCGTCAGTCCCTCCCAGTGGTCCCCACTCAGACCTCAGTCCTCCCGTGTTGTCGGTGGAGCCATCTGGAGCTCAGAGCCTATCTCTGGGGCCCTGGTTCCTCATCCATGGGCCTAAACAGCCTCTTAGCCCTTCTTGTCTGACTCCTGCTCTGCCTATGTACCTGGGACAAGCACAGAGTGGCGCATCCAGCCGAAATCTACCCCCACTCCTACTTCCTTCAGTCCAGCCATACAGCACCTCAGGGCATGCTGCTGGTCCCATCCCTTAGCTCCATGCTGCTAGCTTAGGCTCTTTGATACCATAGTAACACAGATGCTGGCAGTTCAGCATCCCCAGCCCCACAACAAGGAACAGAAGAGGACCAGCTGTTGTGAAGAGGCTAGAGTCCTAGCTGAGCCAGCCATCGGCGGCCTCTCTGAATCTTTCAAAAAACACCATTAGAGCCAGGCGGTGATAGCACACACCTTTAATCTCAGCACTTGGGAGGCAGAGGCAGGCGGATCTCTGTGAGTTTGAGGCCAGCCTGGTCTACAAGAGCTAGTTCCAGGACAGGCTCCAAAACTACAGAGAAACCCTGTCTCGAAAAACCAAAAAAATAAAAAATAAAAAAATAAAAGACACCATGGGTTTACAGCTTCCAGGGCCCTCAGGATTGATAGATTGCTGACACAGAAGCACACACACCGACGTCAAGTATGTATACACGAACTTCCAAAGAGTTTGCTAAATTCACTGGTGAGCGTGCAAGAGGCAAGTCAAGGTAAGTGTTCCTTTTTAATGTATTTTATAAAAGTCAGCCAGGGTGCTAGAGGGTTAGCTCTGCAGTTAAGATCGATGGGTACTGCTTTTGCAGAGGACCAAATTTCTGTTCCCAGCACCCACATGGTGACTCATAACTGCCTGTAGCTTACAGCTCCAAGACGGTCTGACACACAGACTGGAAAAGAAAACCATCACAGCCTGGCATCCCGATACTTAGAAGGCAGAGGCTAAGGATCTTTGGTTCCAGGCCAGCCAGAGCTACATAGCGAAGGGTCTTGGTTCAGTAAACAAGCAATCCTGTCCTAGAGCCAGTGGACCCAATACTGCCCAGCATTGTTGGTCAACCCCAGCCCCACCGCTTCCCACCTCTTTCTGGAGACTTGTGGTCTTGGGTTCATTGCTCTGGATGGATTTCTCGTCCTCTCTCCGTCTCCTCAAGTTTGTCTCCTCCATTGTTCCCCACTGCTAGTTCCAGCGCCTAGGAGGAGAGTGTGGGCCTAAGGTCCAGTCATCAGATATCAACAACACACAAAGGGGCTTCCTCAAGATCTCTCTCAAGCTTGCGCACAGAGGTGGCTGCAACCAGCTCCAAAAGTAAGGAGCTGTTCCCTCTGAGGAGAGCTCAGGCCTTGGTCACCTGAAGACACTCTACTCCACTCCGGGAGAAAAGGCAGACAGGAATGCTGCCCAGGCCACAGAGCTTCCCGTGTGCTTTCCAATGTTATTTTGTGTCCTCCTTCCCACCCCCAGCACATTTAAAACACACTTTACATCTCTGACCCCGGGTCACTATTTTTCAAAACTAGAAAGAGATTGTTGCACCTTATATACGTAATAGCACACACCTGTACTCCCAGCACTGGGGATGTAAGTTCAAGGCCAGCCTGGTCTACGCAGCAAGTCAAGACAGCATGGGATACATAAAAAGACTGTCAAAAAAAAAAAAAAGAAGAAGAAGAAGAAGAAGAAGAAAGAATGGTAAATAAAATAAACCTAAAATGGAAATACATTGAAATGTACTACGGCCGGGAAGGTTTGCTGGAGTAAACAGGCTCAAGGTACAGCTAGGTGATGGTGGTACCCTCTCTAAACCTCTCTCCATCCTGTTTCCACCTAGGCCCAGGCCAGACAGAAGTGGGCCTTCCCATCACAAGGGTCTTACCTTGACGATGCTCACTTAGCTGACCACCACCCAGCCTGCAACTGCAAGACTGAACCCCAGGAAGGCCATGTCTTGTGTCTAGGCGTGGAGGAAGCCAGAAGGTACAGAGGTCAACAAAGGTAATTATTAAACACCCACCTCTGTCCCCCTTTTTTCCTTCTAAGCAAGAAAGCATAGAAAGATACCACTGCACACCCAGAAAGGGGCCAGACAAGCCCAGCTTCTCCCAGAAATGTTTCGATTTTGATTACCTGTGCCCAGATCATTTTTGTAAGCGAATGGATTCCTCCAGGTCAACGACTTCCTATGAGGAGCACTGTCCGCAGGAATGGGGATCATTCTGGGAAATCACGACAGACAAACTTTGGAACCAGCCTCTCACTGTTGCACTGGAGTGCTGAGTGTGTAACTTCACTGCTCAGTTGTTTTTCTTCCTCAGCCGGGAATTTCCTTCAGGGAGTCCGGGTGCCCCAGAGGGAGCAGGCAGGAGGTTGGGTGAGGTCTTCCCATGGGTGAGGCCTTTCCATCAAAGCAGAAGATTCACACAGGTTGCTCCATTTCCTCTAGGACTCTAGCCAAGTGCCCTCACATTCCCATTACATGCTGTCCAAGGAGCTAGGACTCGGTTGCTGAGCCATAGAGGGGAAAACAGAACACAAGGATGGGATCTGTTCCATCTTCACTTCTCCCAGCGGGGAAACTGAGATCCAGAGAGAGCCAGCAACAGGAGGCTCTAGAGTCCAGTCCTTTACCTCAGATCTGAGTGGGAGGAGCCAGAGGTTCCCTGGCTGGGTTCAATGGGACTCTTAGCAATTAGTCCCCACCACAATCATCTTCAATCCTCCCCTTATATCAGGCATTGGAGTCAAAGCTGCAGCCATTATCAGAAGGGCGGAACCAGCAAGGGGTCCTCTATCTGCAGCCCCAAAGCACCTCATTTAAATGTAATAGCATCCCCAGGGTGGCACAGGACCAAAGGGCAGGGTAGGAGCCTGTGGGAGGAGGGCGAATTTCTCAGTCCTTTCTTGAGGCCTCTGGAGAGCAAGACTAGTTGTCCCAGAGCCAGGGAGTTGGCTGAGGAGTCCAGGGTTTGTTTTTGTTCTCTCTCTCTCTCTCTCTCTCTCTCTCTCTCTCTCTCTCTCTCTCTTTTTCTGTTTTAAATGCTGGGAATTTAAACTCCCCGAGCTCCTCCCTTGGTGCAATCATCTGCACCATCCCTGCTCGCCGGCCCTTGGAGGTCAAAGTATAAACCAGCTGAATTCTGTCTGCTTTCTAGACACTCGTCACTGTCTCTGAAGTCCCTCCCTGTCACCCCACCCTCTCCCAGTGCAGTGAATCTTGGGCTTTTACCTCCGACCCTGTCTACTCACCCCACTTCTTTTGTGTATAAACTTGAACGTGTGCATCAGTGCGAGTGTGGCCAGAGGTCATCCTCAGCCTTGGGGGTTTTGTGAGGGCATTTGCTGTACACAGATGGGGAGTGTAAGGAGCCATCAGATGGTGCTGGTGTCCTGCAGCTTGGAGGTAAACAAATCCTTTTGAAGTTGCCAAGTGGGCCTTGGCCTGTATTTGCATAACTGAGCCTTGGTTCCCTGGCCTGTCCCGAGGCCCGGGCTTCAGCGGAATGGTATTCACCAATCAGGACAGTGTCCGAGGCTCTCCACCCTAGAAAAGCAGCTGCCGCTTGGCTTTTTGCTCTCTCTCGTTCCCCACTCCCCCATCAACCAAGAGGCTCCAATAAAGTTGTGATTTGGGAAGAATTCTCGATTTCATGGTCGTTCCTGCTTGCTGGTCAAGGGGCGCGTCACACAGGGGAGGTCAAAGCGCAACTTTTGGCTCAGCAGGGAAGGACACTTGCCACCAAGCCTGACAACCTTGAATTCAATCCTTAGTACTCCACTTTGTTGTAGAATTTTTTTGGTTCTGTTTTGTTTTGAGACAGGGTTTCTTGCTGATCTAGTGTGGCAATGAAGCTAGGCCAGCTGGTAGAGTCTCGGCCTCCACCTGCTTTCTGCTCCCCCAGCCCCTTGCACTTGGGGGCAACGCAGCTTAAGCTCTCTGACTTCCAACTCAACGCAACTTTCTCCAGTTCAACCATGCACCATTGTGAAAGCTCCATTTCTGCCTCTCTCTCTTTCCAAACCCCATGGCTCAGAGAGTCTCTGAACAAAGGGATGACACCAAAAAGCCCAGTTCTGCATTCTTGGCAATTATTGTAGCTTCCTCCCCGAAGTTGCCAACCACCTAAGTCCCTGACTAAGCACTCAGCAATTTTTTCTTGGTATTTATTGAGCTCTACATTTTTCTCTGCTCCCCTCCCTGCCTCTCCTCTCCCCCCTTCTACCCTCCCCCAAGGTCCCCATGCTCCCAATTTACTCAGGAGATCTTGTCTTTTTCCTCTTTCTACTTCCCATGTAGATTAGATCTATGTAAGTCTCTCTTAGTGTCCGCATTGTTGTCTAGGTTCTCTGGGATTGGGGTTTGTAGACTGGTTTTCTTTGCTTTATGTTTAAAAACCACCTATGAGTGAGTACATGTGATAACTGTCTTTCTGGGTCTGGGTTACCTCACTCAATATTTTCTAGCTCCATCCATTTTTCTGCAAAATTCAAGCTGTCGTTATTTTTTTCTGCTGTGTAGTACTCCATTGTGTAAATGTACCACATTCTCCTTATCCATTCTTCGGTTGAGGGGCATTTAGGTTGTTTCCAGGTTCTGGCTATGACAAACAAAGCTGCTATGAACATAGTTAAGCACATGTCCTTGTGGCATGGTTGAGCATCCTTTGGATATATACCCAAAAGTGGTATTGCTGGGTCTTGAGAAAGGTTGTTTCCTACTTTTCTGAGAAATCACCACACTGACATCCAAAGGGGTTATACCAGCTTGCATTCCCACCAGCAATGCAGGAGTGTTCCCTTTTCCCCACAACCTCTCCAGCATAAGTTGTCATCAGTGTTTTTGATCTTGGTCATTCTTACAGGTGTAAGATGGAATCTCAGCATTGTTGTGATTTGCGTTTCTCTGATGGCTAAGGATGTTGGCGCTCAGCTTTTGACCACACTTGAGCACAAACCCAGCTGTGGCAGACACATCATCACCCCTCACCTACAACCTATAAAATCACCCTGCTTTAGTTCTGGGGTGCGACTTCTCTGTCCTCGATCGGTGGGATCAGGGAACCCACTGGGAGTTGCTCTTCCATAAACCCGTTGTTACACTTTTCAATTTGACTTGATCTGGCTTACTGTGTTAGCAGAGAAACTTATTATTGGGGGGGGGGGGGCAAAAAAGTCAATCTATTACTCAAGGGTATAAAAAAAAGCATTCTGTTACCACCACTCTTGACTGCCCAGTGGTCTGTGTAGAGTACTGGTCTGTGAGTACTGGGTCCCTGGAGATTTATGCCAGAGGCCAGCAGGGGGCCTGTTCACAGCCTGTTCACGCCTTGGCGTGGCGTGACTAGCCATGGGATGGTGGCAGCGGATGCTGTGGCTACCTGGCAGGGAGGCAGCGGGACCGGAACAGCTTTCTTCACTCAACCCCCCCCCCCCCCCGCCACTGCTGTCATTGTGTCTTGAGGGTTGCAGGCTTTTGAAGGAGAGAGGATCTGCACACTCTGTGACTGAGCGCTAAGCTACTGAGGGACAAGAAAGTTTTTATTGGAAGTTTTTATGTTGACTGAGGGCCAAGAGAATGGGCAGGAGACTAACGAAGAGAGAGAGCCAGACCTGAAGAAAATTAGAGAAGGTATGTGGAAAGTTGTAAAACGCCAGAGGGTGTGAACTATGTTTGCTGTGGTTTCTCACACTTGCAAATACTAAATTTGAAAAGAAAACATAAAATAAACTAAATATTTGACCATATTAGGTTAATTCTGGTTTTAAAATGTTTTGTCTTGTTAAAGAATTATGTCTATTTCTTGAAAAAAGTATATATGCTCATTCTGTTGAAAATCTATACATGGGTATTTTTAAAGAAACCACAAAACATGATTCCATTTTGAATTTTGGATTGCCATATTGCTAGAGTTCTTATAAAAGCTGCACCTCAATGCTTTTATACACAAGAATGTACCTGGAAAATGTTACAGGACCTATGAGCAATCAGTTCCTATATAATAGAAGCCCCTTTAAGGGGCTTACCTTGAGTCCCAGCAATTCCCTCCCAATTTCACCTCACTATAATTGATCTAAAGAACTGCTTCTCATTTTCATGTCCCTCGATTTGACATTCACACTGTGAAATTATATCTGCTTTCATGGAGTATGTATAATAATTCAATAATACATAATATATTTCACTTTATTCTTTCCTGGATTTAAGATCAATGGGAAGATTCAATTGACTGTCAAATGAATGGATTTGCTTAAATGTCTCAAATAACACAAATTTGTTAGAGTCAAAGTTATATTTGTTGTTTTTATTTGTTTGTTTGTTCTTCCTGTTTCTCTTTGCTTCTCCATCTTGGTAAATAATACCATTGTCTGTTGGGGACATGAGTCAACTGAGACTGTCTTCTGTGACACTTTTCCTCATTTAGTATCCACATTAAATTAATCGTTTATCTCACCAAATCTTCCTCCAAAAAAAAAAAAAAAGAACTGCTTCTCAATTCCTCTTCATGAGGAGGATTGCAAAAAAGTTTACCCTTTCCATTTCTACAGTTAACTCCTCTAGACCTGACAAGAGATACAAATGGGCTGTTTTCCCACAGGGGATGACCAATAGTCCAGTCTTTTGCCAACAATATTTGTATAGTATCCTCTCTCCTTATTTTGACAAAGACAACACCCTTCTATATATTTATATGGATGATCAAATCATTGGGCATTTGGAGGAATCAGGGCTTACTCCCTGGGTAACCACCATTGTTGATATCCTCCAACAACATGACTTTAAAATAGCCCCAAACAAAATACAAAAGGTACCCCCATTTCATATTGGAATCCCAATTAACACTCATGCAAGCCAAGGTGAATGGGCCCCAATTAATGCTGCCTGAGCTTCTCACTTTATTGGGTTTACAAAAGATACTGGGAGGAATGAACTGGGTAAGGCCCTGGTTGCCTATAGAGACTGGGATACTAGATGTGTTATACAATCTCCTAAAAAGGGAGGCAACCTTATGAGATTATTTCCTTGCCCCCTGAGGGCTGTCAGGCACTCACTGAATTCATCAAGGAGCTCCATCAGGCTTTGGTGAGATATAATCCTAACATTCCAATCCAAGGCTGGATATTATTAGAGAAAAAGACCATGCTAGCTGCCATTGTTCAGCAGTCACAACCACTAGAATGGGTACACACCACCCTGGGGGAGACAGTCCCAGACTGTACTCTCTAGTTGATCAAATAGCTGATATGATTATAAAAATCAGGGATACGTCCCTCCAACATTATGGAAAAGATCCCTCTAAATTAATAATTCCATTCAAAATTAAGGATTTAGAATGGGCAGCCAGACATTGTTCTCAATTGAGCCTCACCCTGGAGGGATTTCTGGGGACCCTGGACACCCACTTTGGGGAGTCTGGTTAGTAAAGCTGTATCAAGACTTACACTGGAGAGTCCCCTTAGTCTTTTCTTCTAGCCCCCTGCCCCAAGCATTCACTGTTTGCACAGATGGCGGGAAGAATGGGGCTGCCTTTGTAGTATTCCCTGCAGGGGAGACCAAGACAAAGATTACCAAAATTCTC